ACAATCAATAGGTGTGAGAAATTGGACAATTCAAGTTCGACGGCAGTTCGTTCCAAATTGGAGTGGTTGGGGTCATTCATAGTTCTAGCGATTGGATTTCACTCAAAACACACCAAATGACTCCTCCCACCATATTATGATGTTTCCCAAGTTTTGGCCTCGATCCACAATCAATAGGTGTGAGAAATTGGACAATTCAAGTTCGACGGCAGTTCGTTCCAAATTGGAGTGGTTGGGGTCATTCATAGTTCTAGCGATTGGATTTCACTCAAAACACACCAAATGACTCCTCCCACCATATTATGATGTTTCCCAAGTTTTGGCCTCGATCCACAATCAATAGGTGTGAGAAATTGGACAATTCAAGTTCGACGGCAGTTCGTTCCAAATTGGAGTGGTTGGGGTCATTCATAGTTCTAGCGATTGGATTTCACTCAAAACACACCAAATGACTCCTCCCACCATATTATGATGTTTCCCAAGTTTTGGCCTCGATCCACAATCAATAGGTGTGAGAAATTGGACAATTCAAGTTCGACGGCAGTTCGTTCCAAATTGGAGTGGTTGGGGTCATTCATAGTTCTAGCGATTGGATTTCACTCAAAACACACCAAATGACTCCTCCCACCATATTATGATGTTTCCCAAGTTTTGGCCTCGATCCACAATCAATAGGTGTGAGAAATTGGACAATTCAAGTTCAACGGCAGTTCGTTCCTAATTGGAGTGGTTGGTGTATTCCATTCTTCTAGCAATTGGATTTCACTCAAAACTCATCAAATGACTCCTCCCACCATATTATGTTGTTGACCAAGTTTTGGGCGCGATCCGAAATCAATAGGTGTAAGAAATTGTAAAATTCAAGTTCAAAGGCAGTTCGTTCCAAATTGGAGTTGTTGGGGTAATTCATAGTTCTAGCGATTGGATTTCACTCAAACCACACCAAATGACTCTTTCCACCATGTTATGATGTTGCCCAAGTTTTGGGCTCAATCCGAAATCAATAGGTGTGAGAAATTGGACAATTCATGTTCAACGGCAGTTCGTTCCAAATTGGAGTGGTTGGCGTATTCCATACTTCTAGCGATTGGATTTCACAAAAAACTCACCAAATGACTCCTCCCACCATATTATGATGTTGCCTACGGTTTGGGCTCGATCCGAAATCAATACGTGTAAGAAATTCGACAATTCAAGTTCAGAGGCAGTTCGTTCCAAATTGGAGTGGTTCGGGTAATTCATTGTTCTAGCGATTGGATTTCACTCGAAACAGACCAAATGACTCCTCCCACCATATTGTGATGTTGCCCAAGTTTTGGGCTCGATTCGAAATCAATAGGTTTAAGAAATTGGACAATTCAAGTTCAAAGGAAAATCGTTCCAAATTGGAGTGGTTGGGGTAATTCATAGTTCTGGTGATTGGATTTCACACAAAACACACTAAATGACTCCTCCCACCATATTATGATGTTGCCCAACTTTTGGGCTCGATCCGAAATCAAAAGGTGTGTGAAATTGGTTTTCAAACCGTCGTAAAATCGATCGACATCTTTTGCAAAGTAAAACCACGACGCAAAATCACCGTCGTTGTTATGACAAACATCGTCATTAACAAAAAAACAACCGACGTCTGTATATTGAAAAATGAACAAAAAACATTTCCTGGAGAAGAATAGACGACCTATTTTATACGACCTCCGTCGTGTAAAAGAATACAATACGTCTTTAAATAAATAAAATATGACGTTATTAAATCATACGACGTCTAATATATTTATATAACCGTCGTGCAATAGTAATGCCACTTCGTTTTTTCCATTAATATTGACGTGGAAATAGCGGTTAGGGTAAATCACCGACGTTGTTGTAACAAACAACGTCAATTACAAAACAAAACCGACGTCTGTACACTGAAAAATGAACCTGTCTGCCGCGCAAATCTCACGGCCTGGACCTATTTTATACAACCACCGTCGTGTAAAAGAATACAATACGTCTTTAAATAAATAAAATACGACGTTATTAATATTTACTACGTCTTATATATTTACATAAACTACGTGGAAAATATGTTAGGCTCATGACTTACGACATATTTATTTCTATAAACGACGTAGTATGTGATATACAACGTCGTGATCATGTAAAAGACAGCCGTGTTTCTCTATTTATACGTCGTCTTTAGTAAAATAATAGTCGTCTCCGGCGCGCTGCTCAGGGAGCGGCGGTCGTGTGATATATGGGGTGAGTGAGCGAACAACAAGGATGGTGCTCCGGCGCCTCAAAAATCAAGGGTCGTATGATATATTGATGAATGGATTTTCCTTACAACCTAACACTACTCCTAGGAAAGCAAGTAAAGATATTGAAAGTG